GAACTACTTAAAACTTCAGATGTAATGTCATGTGGCCAACGAGCTATGAAAATTCTCTACTTTGGCTCTCTGTATCTTCAGTAATACAATGGCAGTTGAGTAAAGATATGTCTAGACAATAAGATGACCTCTTGACCCATTCATTTCAAAGTTCACTGAATGAATACAGTTGAAACAAGTTTTTTTTTCAACCCCTGACATCTGCCACACCCACCTTCAACAAATTTGTTTGATCTTTATAGCCTACATGTAGATGTATACATAACGTGTATAGTCATTAGAAAGAGGTAATTTTACCCACTTCTCTTGTCGGCATCGGGCTTTAGGTCTTGTAGACCTAGGACGGTCAGGTGCAATTTGACCACTTCCTTCCTCCTTGACTATTGTTTTAATAGAGGCATGTAATGGTTTCTTTCTTTTGTTTTGTTACATTTATCCTCTTCAGGGCCATGTCCATGAAGTTTATCCTATGACTGATGTAAGTTAAGATCTGGTATGGGGTGACTTTTATTTTACTTGGCTTTATATATTTTATTACGTGTTTATGTATATGAATATGCAGTATTACATGTATAAAGTGTTGTTTGGCTATTTCTGTTATCAGTGTGTTACTGTCTGTGTTGTTTTGGGGGTTTCTGTACTGTTCTATGAAATCCATGAGTGTGTTTTAACGGCTTCGAGGATAGGATTGTTTGGTTCGGTTACATATGTATTTGATTGTTGATTTTCTGTGATTGGACCTTTGTTTTCTTGAATCTTTTAACTGTTTGATTGTTTTTGCTTTTGTGATTGTGCTGCCTCAGCTTAAATATATTGTTACGTCTCCGTTTGTTAATTGATTTTCCGTAACTTCGTTCCGACGAAACTTTAGCGACACAAGTCCTTACTTAATAAAACTGGTTTATTCTTTCCGAATACAACTTTACGATACACTTATTTTCAACAGTCGCTCTATAACAAACGCTAATCAACGAACGTCAACAATACTTCTGACTGCAGTTCAATTACTCACTAACTACACACACATTACATTCTTCCGTCACGTTGTCACCCTCTTTTTATATACCACACTACCCTATATCTAGTAAATACTAGAGCATTCGCCAAGGTACAGGATAGTTCTAGAAAATAGGTGGCGCCACACCAGTCACGTGACCTCGATGGCGCAACACTGCCCCATCCTTAGTATTGTTCGTCCCGAACAATTGCCACTTACAATAAACCAATAACAATTAACAATAACTTAATTAAATGTACAGAATTACAATCACAAAATTACAATTCAACAAAGTCTCTTAATTTTACGGGATGTATCTTCTTCCATACTGATCTCCATCTCGTTGGCTTCTGCTTCATGTGGAGTTCATCTGCTTCATCAGTAAATGTCCTATCATTGGTAACAGTCACATCAGTGGTAGTAACTTCACCAAGAGCTTCACCATTTCCCTTCTCAAAACTAAGTAGAGTTTCTTCTTCGACGGTGGCTTCTTCAGTTGGCACGTCTGCAGCAGCGTCATTTGTTCTGTTGTCCACTTCGTCCCAACTGAAATGTCCTGGACCGTGATAACGCCAAAGCCTGTTGGCATGCACCACTTTTGGTTTACCTCGCCGACCACATTTTATCCGGAAAGTCACGTCTGAGAGACAATCCACTATGTCGTATGGGCCTTCCCATGGAGATGACAACTTAGGAGACTTCCCTTTGGCCTTCCTGGGATTATATAACCATACCTTGTCTCCAGGTTCAAAGCTGACTTCAGTAGATCTCTTATCATAAGTTAACTTCATCGAATCAGCAGACGTTTTCAAGTTTGAACGCACTTGATGGTGAATATCATCCATCCTTTCCGATAACACTTCCATAAACTCTGACACACTCTCAGGCAACTCTTCATAAGGTGAGTGTCCCGTATGCTTGGGTCCCCTTTTAGCACTACATGTACTACATGTTCGGCACCATTCTTCCACATCTCGCCTTATACCTATCCAGTAAGATCTTTGCCGTATGTGACTCAATGTCTTCTTGATTCTGAGATGTCTTCCAGTTAAATTATCATGGGACTGACGCAGCATAACTTCCCGTAACTTCCTCGGTATAGCCGTTTGCCAATTCGTCAATTTCCCATCTGTAGTTTCCCATCTCCGGAGAAGAA